TAGTGTAGTATAGTACAGTGGTTCTCAACCGGTGTGCCGCGGCACAATACTGTACCGAGAGATCGACTAGGTGTGCCGCGACAAGTTTCTGATATTTGTAATTAAGCTGGTAGGTAAAAATATTGAAAACAGTAATTTATTTCATTACATTTGTGTTGAGTGTGCCGCGAAAACTTGTGATGTATAATTATGTGCCGTGAACCAAAAAAGCTTGAGAACCTCTGGTATAGTATATTTCGAGAGGAGGGGGGGGGTTTACAAAAAAATTAATATTTCAATTTTAACACTCCCTCTTAAATTTTAATTAGTTACGCCCGTACAAACCATACATTTCGGGAGTGGGAGTTTGAATCCCTCTTCCCCTATATACGCCACTGCATCAGTATGATTATACCTATACATCAGTTATTTAGGTTCCAGACAAATATTGRTTTTCTAAAAAAATTATTRAGTTGTTAAATAYAAAGAGCGTTTTCTTACCGATGAATGCCACATTAACGTGCTTCGGAAGATTTGGACATAATATCGCTACTTTGGTGACAATRCCTAACGTGCCTTCTGAACCAATGAATAAATGTTTTAAATGGTATCCCGTGTTGTCTTTTCGCATTGTATTCAAACAGTCCAAAATCGTACCATCTGCGGTGACCTATACAATTAAATAAGATTATTTTTTTGTTTTTAAAGTAAATATCAATAATATTTAATTATTATTTGGTAGAAATAGGAATATCAYGATGGATATGTTTGGGGCAGAAAATAAATAACGTCTTTCAAAAATTTGTTTAATTCATTAATCTGTGGCAACATCGGCCACTGCRGGGTGATGGTTATTCTTAGTACTCTTATTAAGTTTTTAAGTGTGAGGTTTGGTACAATAAGTTGGCCATACGTGTATGTGTGAAACGGATTTTGCACTAAAAACCGGATGGTCMACCATTCGGGAACTAGTGACGACGGGTATAGTGCGTACTCTCAATCACGTTTRATGGTGACAGATTGCAGCAAACACGCCACGCCAGGCCATTGATAATCATTATTAGCAGTATAAMGCAATGAGCAAAACACGTATTATTAAATAGCAAACACTTAAACCATTTATCACAATAAAGGAATTGTTAAGCCATTATTATGATATAAGTGGCGTCAATAATAAAATATTTGTTGTTCTCAACACGCGTTACGGACGTACAGCACTCATTTGCCCGTGGTACAGCTAGTAAAAATATTTAAAAATGCTCGTCTCACCTCAAAGTGTATTAATATTTTACTATAATAATTATGGTGTAGGTATATACATAATATAATACAGTACAAAGTATATAACTATACAACATGGAAACGAGTTTGCGTCTAATTAAAAAAAAAACTCGTTCACAGCCTTCCAGTAAAATTTAGTAAAAATAAAAGGGGGAAAAAATAAATGGCTTTAATAAATAAAAAGAGGGTTGGCGTCGTGGGTATATTATATAGAGCCTCGAGAGTTACGGTGGATGTCTGGGCGATAAAAAAAAGAAAAAGAACAACATGAAACACTGATTTGATTAAAAAAAAGAAAAAGTGAAGTTAAAAGAAAAAACTGAACCCACTTAATTGAGCGTTGGGCCGATTGCTAAATCACCGGCGACGGCGGCAGACATACGCAATTACAAAAGTGGTGGTTGAGAGCAGGGAACTGATGTCGTTTGGGAACCGACGGGTTGATGTGGAATAGGGGAAGAGGAGGTTGTGGCATTCCGTGGAAACCGTACACGCTCTGTGCATACCAATTCCGATTTCGGTGCCAATGAAAACACACGTAATTAAGGGAAAGTTTAGGGCCCCAAAGCCGCGTTTTCGACGGTTCAAACTCATTTTGCCGCCGTCACGGAGCAGTTTATTATGTTGCGTTTTTCCATCGTTGTTTTTTATTTGTTTTTGACGCAACGRAAAACATAGAGAGAAAAACATTAAAATCTGTTTCACGTAGGTACCTATGGTTTATTTATAATTCAACCACCAACAACCGTTCACATTTTGTACATATTTAGGCGGTAGGCCATTGCAGGTTATTGTTTCAAAAAATATATTATTTGATGGATTACAACACCATTATGATTAGATGTATTAAAATATATTACCTAAAAATTTAAAATTAAGGTTTTTACCTATGTATATTATTTTTTAAATTTGAGTTTTATTTTTAGGAGTATCAGTTGGTCGGATGAGGGGAATAGTGAAAGCCCAAGAAACGTTGAATTGGATTCTGGCTTCATTATATACGCTCAATAGTGTTCTMTAAAGACTGTCGTGTGATATTTTTGACGGTATTCACGTATAAATAGTAAATCCTATGGTTTGATATTTTTGGCTTTGGAAAATTGAGTACTTGATCTGATTAGGTTTTGTGTTTTTGAAATTGCAGCATATAATACAAAGGTCGTTAATCATAATAATATGATATCGTCATAACTCGTAACTTACGAGTCGTATAAGTAAAGATAGTAAGTACTTATCCAGTAGTATTGACAGAGCTGTTGCAATATGACATCAATACATCATAAACATGATGCGTTTACGCTGATAGAAGTACAATGGAGACTGACGGATGTTTAGGAATTTGGGACTTCCAGTTATAGATTACATGCAGCAGCTGTTATAATTTAAGTAAGTAATTGATTAAGTACCCTTTTCGTTTTAATATTAAGCCAAATGGTACTATGTACGGTAGTTATTTCAATCGATCCGTCGCGTTTATTTAGGCGTAAAGGGCACTAACCACTATTGTTTTAAATTATTTTTTACACGTCGATTAGGTGGACTAACGTGCTATAATATAGAAACCTTCGTGTCACGTGATCGCGTTTTGCAAGGCTTCATCAGTGTTTAATGTTAATGCACACAGCTACGGTGGTTTATATAAATACAAATATATATATATAGGTGTACGTTTAACTTCTGTCGACCCGCAGTGTTTAAATATATAATAATATTATCGTCCGMAAACGAAATGATTGTAATCAGCTATATCGATGTAAAGCCGAAGGGGCTGCCCTTCTCACCCGCTCGCTCGGCCAAAGCTCCGAACTCGGCGGTGYGGTGTWTTAAATAAACAAACAGGTAATGTCTACGCGTATAGTAATTTTCCGTTTTGTGTTTCAACTTTTAATGATATACATTATTTTTCGTTTTGCGTGTTTACATTTTCTAACGTTATTATTTAAGCAGTTCAGTCGTTCTAGCTGTGTCCGTTATTTCGGTTTTAGAATACATTAAGCGTATAATAATAGCAATAATAACATATGCACGTGAATGTATTGTTAATCAAAACTCGGTAAACATGTAAAAGATAAACACTGAAAATCATTTGGGCAGCGTAGAAAATTATCAACGAAAACCCCTCCGAAGGCTGTTCACCGCGGTCGTATCACTGATAAAATATAAACTAGGTAACAACGATGACGATGATACGAGCGCTATGTTTTTGAACGACATCGCAGAGAACAACAGCAGATACGATCATTTATCGCGGTTATATAAAACTGCCAACTGGATGATATAGCCAGCGGTTGACTTGGAAATAAAGTAGTAGAGGTACTCTTGCTACTTTTAAAATGTAACGTCCCTAGCATTTTAATAAAACTTATATAATCTAGCTGGTGGGGGGTTAAAAGTTAACATAACAATCCGTCCCATGCGTTCCCCTTTAATAAAGAAGTAGGGGTACGCTAGCGTATCCAAAAAATTAGTTGAGGTACTCAGTCCCCACTCCCCACCCAAAGTCAACCACTGGATATAGCTATGTATATTATAATATAGCCGATGAGTTTAAACTTATAACGGATTACGAAAACATATTAGACATATTATACATGTACAGGAAGTAGGTACCTATATATCAGTGGTGGCCAAACTACGGCCCGCCATCATTTAATATCTGGCCCACGAAAGATCCTCTGTCAACAGAAACAAGCTCATAGTTGTCATTAACAAATTAATACATTTTAAAATATGTTTTGTAAGTGTAAAACGATATTTTGTATAGTTTTTATTTATTTTTATATGTGTTAATAATTTATTTAAAAATATTTTTTGAAATGTAAGCCGATTTAATTTTCTTTCATTTGTAGTATAATTATTAGGTTAAGTATTAAATAAAGTCATTAAAATTATTAAGTACAATAAAAACGTCGTTAAATATAATATTATATACATATACCTAAAATGCTGATGACTTAAAAGTAAAAACAAATTTTATGGCCCGAGTTAAAAAAAGTTTGGCCACCACTGCTATATATACGAGTATATATATAAATCCTAGGTTTACGGTTTGCGTATCGAGAACGTACGKGGCCGCATTTAAGCAGGTATAAACGGGTGAATTAAAACGATTATAATAATATGTTGTTATTACTTATTACGACAAATCAACCGTGAAAAAGACTTGTTGTAGTTGTGTACATCGCACGTCGCACGCGGAGTGGGCGGTATAAGTTTACAAAACGACTTGCAGCGGTTCTGTGATCTGCGCGCATTATTACATCGTCATGTAGTAGGTATTGTGATAAAATATATTATGGACAACAAGTGAATCGATCATAACTATAGGTACTATTACTGCTATACTCGCGTATTATATAATAATAATATAGTTATAACATGGTATCATTATAATATAGTCGTCACGTTTTATTTGTGATTCTGTTTCATTTCCACCATATTTTGTTTCGCGCTCATCGAACGACGCAGTCCGGCAGCAGTCAACCGCATGCATCCGTGCAACGAACATTTTTGGGACCAGTTTTCGTGGTCACACGCAGACACACACATCAGTTATCTCATATGTATATATTGTACCGTCACTATGTCACTGTCACACCGTGATCATCATCATAGCCGGATAGTTGCCCTGTCCCTAATTCCCTATGCACACATAATTTCTACACCCGGTGAAGTCATAAGTGTACACACACACACACACACACACATGCACGCACGCACACATACATATATTATAAATACATCACAGTGGCGTGTGTAAGTGCACGAGCCCCACAGGGTTTTCCGGCCGGATGCACACACAAAACCCTCTCAGACACACACACACACATATATATATATATCATGATCCCATCAATCGAATAAAACCATACGGTATACTGATGTGGGGTGGGGGGCGAGTAAAACACACACACATACACTGAGCTCAGGACCTAACGAACCGTCGATCGGGTACGATATATTATATATACACATCACGCGCCATATACGCAGCCCCGTGACTCGATCCTGCAGTCTCGAAATTGCAATGGTGGCGATTTACGCGACTATATATACCCTGCTGTCACCCTTTTGTTTTTCTATATTTATCGACTTACGGCTTCTAGGCCCAAGACGCACCCCTGCAGCGTGCCGTAACGTATGACGCGTATGCCGCCGGCGTTGGTCGACACGTTGCCGCCGATCTGACAACTGCCCTTTGACCCCAAGTCCAACGGCATCATGTACCCGTGACCGTCCACGTGCTTCATCAACGACTCGAGTACGCATCCCGCCTCGCAGACCAACACCCCTATAAAACGGTACAGTGCATTATTATATTGTAAATAATATACGATGACGTATAAGTGGGCACCTACTTTTTGTCACTATATTGACTATACAATATTATTATATTTGGTAATCGTGACTGCGTGTCGGCAGCTGTATATAATATGAATACATAACGTGATTAAAATATATTTATGCTATCATTAAAAGGAAGGGTTCGCGATGACAATAGTACAATGTTATCGTTAAAGTTTAATGTTAAATATAGTGTCTATATATAACATATACTAGTTAAAACCTTCAGGGAGTTTCCTTTAAAAGTAAACACTAATTTTGTCGAAAAAGTTTTTGGAAGTATACATTTTACATTTAAGTTGAAGTCATTATATAACAACGTTTAAACAATAACGATAATAATAATAATTTAGAACTTTGTATTAATTCTATTATATGCAGAATATTTTTCTGAAAATTTCGATACAATCTATAAAAGCCATATTTGGAGCGTAAAGCTATACTATAATAGTTATAGTTAGACTAGAATTTAAAGTTTAGGCGATCCTTGGTGAGGTGGTTGTGTCGTACAGGAATTACCCCGCAAAATGTTGTTCTACTATCGAATCACTTCTCATCATCGTCCATGGATGTGTTAATGGTTTATTGGTTTATATAATATCGATATCACATAAGTCATAGAAATAAAATATACTTAGTGTTGTGTGGAGCGGCGGAGCGCTGACTTCATGTTGGAATGAGACTATCATATTCAATAATATTTGGAATACGAGTATTTGAATTTTGGAATCATTAGTTTCTCGTTATTTTTATTAATTAATTTGAGATAGTATTATACTGTTTACAATTTCTTTAATTTAAATGCTTTTACGCAWATCGTTTTGGCAGTATACTTAGTGATTCGGGACCCGAAGTGTTCGCTTTTCCACAAACTTATATAGTTATACAACACAAAAAAATGTATTACGCTTACTTGAGGACAACATACACATAAAATACGCATGACATTTTATTATATACGCGATCGTTTAATTTTATATTTGTAATGATGCAATTATTATTTATTTTAATAACTATCACGGCTATAATATATGTATGCAGTTCTTCGTTCTATTTGTCAAAGTTTATTATGCCAATATCGTTCCCTGCATACTACATAGCATAGAATCACAATTATGATCTAAAAAAACATTTAAAAGGTACCTGCARCGTTTTAATAGCAATTAATTTACGTTTTCGCATTTGTAAGTTGTTGGAAATTCATAATTGCGTTCAACCATTGAAATCTCTTCAGCCTCTTTCAGGCTAAAAAATTCAATTTACCTATAATTTTTTTTTAAACATATTGCACAAAAACACCATATATAATACATACAATAGTCGTCAATAGCATGAGCAGACGAATAGCGTTCACGTGCTTTTTATAATATCACTCTGGGGCATGTATATATCGTATGCTTATACCGGCCTATAGTGCTATACATAGTATATAATTAAATATCATAAATTATAATAATACAAATATTAATTATCTATTATTATTTAGTTTGTTGGCGTTGTATGGGTACATAATATATATATATATATATTGCTTTGACATTCCTGTATCCTCAAATATGGTCCATTAATTTTGTGTACGTTTTACGTATTATATAAGCCACATTGTAGTATKTACTGTATGTATAGAGGTATGGACCTATATATAAACAATAAGCTAATCAAACATTATGTTTTTAACTAGATAGCGATGGAAATGAGCAGTGGCGTATTTAAGGTTTTTCCGCCTCTAGGCACTTTCCAATTCGCCGCCTTCCTCCCACCTCCATACTTCCTACAATTATTTCTAAAACGTATTTAAATATACAATTTATTACATTATAATATTATATTAAAAAAGATACATYGAGATATATGTAGATAATTGCCACTAGATATACTARTATTATTAATTTTGAGCGAACAAAAMTTAGTTGAGTTTGATTTCATTAAATGAAAAATACTTTTTCTAATTTTGTAAAAAAAAATTGTTGAAATTTGCCGCCCTCCAATGTTGCCGCTCTAGGCCCGGGCCTATAGGGCCTGTGCCTAAATACGCCTCTGGAAATGAGCAAAATATTGGCAAAATTTATAACGTATAGAGGCACAGCTGCGTTATACTAAAATTAATTGAATCTTCGTAAATGTTTTACATATAGGTACATTTTATTGAAATTTTCTGATTATAGTTTATTCGTATAATTTTTCACTGCATTCAATATTTCGTTAGAACATTTTTTTCTATTTAAATAWTATTGGTGGCAATTTCACGCTGCCATCACCACTATGATATATGACTAATATGAGTAAAACATTTCAATTCTCTACAGGCATTTTCAACTTCACGCTCGTCACGCCATGTGCTATATAGTGTATAATAAACAACAGCATACTTTGATGTATATTATTATTTATTATGTACCTATGYATATTATATGCCAARTTGGACATTAACTAGTTGGTTAATATTTTAATTAACTTAATAACTTAACTATATTAATTTTCCTTTTCCATTGTAATAGTTAATAACATACCTACCCTTTTTCAGTTAATTTTAAGAATGAATAATAATTGGTAAGTTCTACTCACGTTAAATTAGATAACTCATGGGTTATTTATACTAGAATATTTTATCTATGGATGACTGTAATTAAAAATAGAAACTAACCTAAATATATATTTCTTAGCATGATGATTATGCAGTATATAGATATTCAATGATTTTAAATAAAATGTGTATTTTKGGCTGAATTATTTATTATTAATTTTATATTAGTATAAAAACTAATTTGAGTAAAAAAAGTAAATTGCACATGTAAACTGCAGTATACATAGTTGTAATAAATATAAGTATGCATGATAGGTATTATAATATTAATAATAGGGGTTTGTGGAGCATCCGTGATGGTATCCGAGCACTAAAATAAATTCTGTGATTGTTGTTATTTTATTAAACAAATAAGTTAGCTATATCTATTTTGTCCAAATTTATCTTTAACCTCCAATCATTTGAATGTTGAAAAAAACAAGTATATTCGAAATTGTATTGAACTATTTTTAATGGCGGGTTTTCCAAAATAAGGTACGAATTTAATTGTTTTTAGGAAGTGTGGTGAAGATGAACCTGACCATAATTCTATATAATTTCGGTGGAAGTGGATTGCATTTTTGTTATTACTGAAAAAATGAACTGCAATATTACATGGTCAAAAGACTGAACAAATTGGTTTAATTTCCATCTGCTTCGTTAATTATCATAATGATCCTATAAGCACACATTGAAACTTTCCCAGGCCGAAGTGTCGGAGTTACATCACAGCGTATATAATATCATTTTGCACAAATATTACCCTAAATAACGCACGTCACGATATAATATGATATTATAATGGTAGGTATATACGTTATGCATAATATTATAATATGATATTGTGTGAAGTTAATACGTTAAGTTAATACATATATACTCTCCAGAAATACAACACTGTTGAGCATGTTTTTAGATAGGCGTGCTCAACGCGGTCTATACCAGTGGCTTACGTATAGTATATGCAATGTACCATGTACTACCATGTATACCACAACAACTGTTATAATATATTGTAATACACTAACACTATTACTACTAGGTACTTAGTTTTGGCGCCGCCGACCGCGCCCGAGAACCGCACGCATGCAAGAATACAATACAGGGTGCTCACAATTGTGCCCGTCAATAACAATTTTGCTCCTGATATAACGTTATTCAAATACCTAGGGTTTTTGAAAACATCAATCGCGTTTTTCGTTTATGTATTGTATGATTAATAATTATACACGGCACGCCGCGGCGGTACAWTATATTGTACTCAATGACGTTATTTTACAATATTATGTATATYAATATGTAATAATATGTATATGATGTGATTTTAATAATTTTTACTATTTCGTACGCCTACTTACCGGATATGGGATCGAAATTAATTATTTTGTTCATCCGCTCCATGGATAAGACCACCTCGTCGAATAGCGCCACGCTACCACACGACAAGCTCGTGTTGCCAGCCTGTGGGCACACCGCAATGCTCCTGTCGTTGCAGTACTTCAGTATGTCCGACACGTTTTCTGCGGTTTTCGGTTTTAACACCAGCCCGCTATCGCCTGTAAAACACACACACACATCAATAACAATAATAAATAACAACAAAGACGAGTTAATATAACAATAATGAAAACAATATAATAAAAAATAAATATATAATATTTTAAGTTGTATTCGCATCAACAAGAAAAACGGCGGTGGATTAAGGCGCCATGGCAGAAACCTATGGGTGCCCATTCGAAATTCTGCCAAAAATATTCAGGTGTTCCCTCAACTACCGTTAAAAAACCTACAGTACCACCCCCCTTTCACAATGACCTATGTTGCCGCGGGTTAACAAATAAAAAAAAAAA